CCCCAAAACCCCAAAACCCCAAAACCCCATGCGGATAGTTACTAAATGATTACAAAATAAATATGTTCAATATTATCCATGATATATCATATTAACTTTAAATCTCTACTAGATTATTGGGTAACTGTGTTATAAGTCATCTCCCTTTTTATTTTTTAAACTTTGTAATAGTTTGGTTTCAAAGACACTCTGTTTGATGAGCACTCACTGGGCACAGATGTATTGAAGCTTTTAAAATTACTGATAGTCTATTAAGTTTTCTAGCCTTCTAGACTTCTGAGAGCTGTGTGATCCTTGTTACTCTGAGTTTAGTCCTAAATTTTCAAGATTAGTTCCTGATCAGGCGCTGATCTTGCTAGTCCATAGTGCTCCTTGAGCAAATTAATGTGCTTGGTCATGTTCTGTAAGCTATCAGAGACTATCTTGTTTTCCCTTATTTTCTTGAGTAAGAGTGTCAATGGCACTTAGTTTTAACAATCTTTTGGTTCATTTAGATCCATTATTAGAAGCAACTGTCTTTTGAATCTGTCCATTTCATCTACTTAGTTTATCAAATTTAGTCTTTGCTAGTCATTTCCTACATTTTTTCGCAGTCTTTCGTAATCCAAAACCAAATCTTAGATTTTCTGAGGCAATTGTGTGGCGTCATTGGCTTAATCTACTAGTAAGCATACCTAGGATATTAATAAATGATAAATTACTTCATTAAGAATCTTTCTGCAATCGCTAGCTTTCAATTTATAAGCTGACAGAGCTCGATCATTATAATTTGACTAGATATTCTGTTGATATCCTTAGTCAAAACTGTTTCTCTGGCTTTTCAAGTTATTATATTTTTACTAGAGTTAAAAATATTTTTCATCGAACTAACTTCTTTCCAACCTGCTCTATTCGATTTATTCCTATAAATTCTGATAGTCACATTTCAATTAATCTATTCTTTGATGCAAATACTAATTTTCTAAAACAACTTATTAATTGCGTATCTTACCTTCCTTAAGGATTTTATTGCTTTTATCAAGTTAATTAATCAGATATATCTCCTTCTCTGTTTCCCTCTCCTTTTGCTAATTCTCCTAATTAAGCTAATCATAGTGTTGAAATATCAAATCAATCAGCTGCTAGAGTCGGAATTCCTAATTACTGTTCTGTTAAATTTTATTTTAATATGCATCAAAATCAGTCAATTCAATCCCGTGTTCTAAGCATTTTATTTTTAATGAAGCTATCAATTAGTCTATTATATAGCTGGAATCAGTTTTGATATTTTGACTACTTATTTTATGGAGCATCTGTATTTATTGCTTGTTAAGGATAGGACTTAGACCTTTGCCCCTCTCTTGTTTCAGAGTCTTTTTCTTTTTATTTCCAACATGAATGATTTGAGTCAACTTGCTGAGCTCATTTTTGAGTTCCTTTTGTTCGCATAAAATGCCCTTGATTTTGTTATCAATAAACGAATCATCAAAATTCACAGAGCTTATCTCATCTACAATACTGAGAGACTGATCTTCTGCTCCCAAAAACATCACATTCATTGTGGTGGTATTGATGCTGCTCTGCAAAGACTGATCCTACTTTTCATCATCTTCAATATTCATATAGTTCAACCTCTAAAATAAATGGTGATGAGTAGATTCTTCTTGCTATTAGGTATTTACTGTGTTGTAGGTAGACTTAGTTGCACCAGAAGTGTCGGTGCTTGTTTACATCTTATGATAGGGATCTGAGAAATCTTGAGCTTTGTTTTTGAAGCTATTGGTTGTCTAGAATTCTCGAGTAAACGAGTCTGTCTGAGTCTCTAAAATGGGTGAAACTTGAGTCTTTTAGTATATCGGGGGTTTTACCCTGTTTTTAGAATTCACAGACTGGGTAAATATCTTGCTGTTGCTATTCATTGATTCCATCAAGCTGTTTTTATTCTGGTGGAAATGCCCTGACTTGACGGGGGTGAAGTCAGTAATTGACATCCTTTCATTTTTCATATTGATTACAGTGGGAACTAAAATTGATTTTCATTTTTCATTACTACTCTCTCTGAATGAACTTGTGAAAGGTGTACTTTGCTTCTCTGTAATGTATGAGTATCTCTCCTTGCTGCCTGAGGAGTTATCTCTGTTTTCGTCTAGTTTTCATGAAAATAGCATCCTGTTGGGAGTAGTTTTTCTAGTAGATTGAAAGGGGTTGGAGGAGCAGCTAGCTGTTGTTTCTCTGGGTTCAATACTTCTTGATAATTGCGTATTTCTCATTTTAAATTTAATAAAACAATCAGTAAAAACATAGCAAATAAAAATAAACCAGTTTATTATATATTAATCCTCAATATCAAATTATTCCCAACATTTGGGGTTTTGGGGTTTTGGGG